GCGAAATGGGCTGCCAAGTGTAAATGCATTTTTTATTAGTGCCAATTGGTAGAATGTTTATGCCTCAATTTAGTGGAGCTAAAATGCACTGTTTGCTAGAGGAACATCATTATAGAAAATGATTCTCTTCAGCATGAACATCTAAAATTACAGGTACTATATTTGAGATGCTTTTCACTTGCATGAATGGTTTCTGCAGCTAAATCTAAGTGACCCTGAGCACTGACCATGGCTGTAAACATTAAAGCACAAATAAAAACACAAACTAATTCAGTTTTCCAATTCAGGCAAAAGACAAATCACTTTCTAGCATTTTGATCCAATATCTGCCAGGGTTCTGTCAGTCTAGAAAAAGGGGAAAACTGTAATAATTCCCCAAGTGTCTCTAATGATGCCCATGACTCTGCTATAAGTTTTTAAACTATTGTGAGTTTAACCAACTCTGTTGTAAATGGTACAGTCACCTTGGAAATGTCTGTATTGTATTTGACAGTTTGCCATAAAAACTGGTTTGAACTTAGTATATATTTGAATTTATATGCTAAAACCTATCTTCTGTTTACAATATTGTAATATCAGTTTTGGAATAACACAAATATAAAGCTGAATGATTTCTAAATAGCAAATTAATCAATCGAACTTTGTCTTGTATGTAGTACAATTAATTGCTTTTGGAGCTGTCTATCTGCATTCATACGGTCATCCATAAGAGAAAATAAACAGTGTTCAGATGCAGCAAACTGTGCATTTAACACTGCTTATTAAACTATTGCAACTATATGTCCCTTGAACTATTGTGGTAATTACTTAATTCCCATTGATCTCAAATATATATTTTACATGCTGACCTAAGTTTCATTTAATAGTTCAAATCTAAACATTCTTCATTAGTTAAAATAGCAAGTGAATTTTTACATGATGGCCTGTGGAGGTGGAGAATAATTTTGCATAGGGGTATGTATCTAGTGTATGGATCACAACATTAGTGAGCTTTCTTTAACCACATGAACACTTGTTATTAAGAGGCTGTTAATTGTTAAATAAGTATAAGGAATTCCAGCATAGGTTCATGGAATGGCAGTAGATCTGTAAGAGCATATCCTAGGTTTTATACTATAATGCCTTCTATTTGATGCTTTTGACTGGAAAAAACAAGATTCTTGAGAAGGTTATCTATATGCAAAGCATATAATCTAAATTTGTTTTAAATCTAATGATATAAACAAGGATCTTTCAGATGAAAATGTGTTATATGCAAAGAAGTTAAAACTTAAATTACAACTATTAGCTTATCCAGCGATGGTTGTGTTTTATTAGTACTACATGTTCTGGCTTATACACATATTAATCATAATATAGTTTTAATTTTGGCTCAGTATTTCATATGAATTCTGATAACTGATTTCAGCAAACCTGTAGTAAGTTTGAATGAATATGCCAATAAGGTGAAATGGAGACATTAACTAAGCTACATTTTCTTTTCTGGATGTGGATTTTTTTAAAGTGAAACTGAGAGGAAGGACCCAGAAAAAATCTCTTTGTAGATATTATCTATATCGAAGCACAGTAAAGGGGGTATCCTTTTCAGTCATTCACACACACTATTCCATAGAGCCAAATACGCTCAAGTCTCAAATGGCCTGGCTGGAGGGGTTGATAGTTGAATATTCCTTTTAACAGTTTGCTCCTAATACCTGAGGAGTCACTATCTAAACCTCAACAACAACTGAATTTAAAAGAGGTATTGCATTTATCAAGTATAGGAGACATGTAAATGACAGAATTTTCTTGGTGGGAACCTGCCATATACAGTAACAGTACTTGTTCTGATAAGGACATACCTGAGTTTCAGTCCCAATTCCTCTGTTAACATGTGTTCATGGTCAGGTAATGTTCATAATCAGCGTAAAAATACCAAGATAGTACAAAGGAAAATTCTAGTTTATGAACACTATGAGTAATGAAGTTACTAGGAGGTTTTGCTTTCCACCTAGATAACCTAGCATGTTAGAAAGAGAAGGAGGAATAGGGGTATATTCTAAAGATTCAAACAGAAAGAATAATGAAAAGAATTAAATATAAAACATGTTTAGTATATAGCATATTGTCTAGTATATATATTTAATAAACACTTAACCAGGAGGGATAAAGGAAAAGTTTACAGAACCTTGAATAAAATAAGTCAAAGGAAATAGAAAAAATAGAGATAATCCATATTAAATGGAGTAAAAGTATATGATATACAGGTGCAAAAGACAGCATTCAACGGTAACCAAGGTATCTCACAAAGATGAAAAGTTTTGAACTAAGCCACACATTCACTTGATTAAACAATCATATAGTCTCATTAGAAAGTGGATAACTCTTAACGATTAGGGATTTCTAACAGAACAGCAGAGCTTATGATTTATATTAACTAAAACGGACATGTTGCCAACCAGCATAAACAATGCAAAGGAACATGTTCACCCTGCTGATTGTGCACATAGTCCTCATTTGGCAATCAAAATTACAATGGGCTCCCAAAAAGTATTTATGACCTGGGTTTTAGTCTGCCCGTCCCTGGTCATGTGATCACGTTTTGGGTGCTTGGCAACCAGCATGCATTTACAGTTATTTGCAGCATCCTGTGGTCGTGTGACTAATTTACAATGTTTTTTTCTGGAAACTAGCATTATTACCATTTCCAGCAAAACATGCTCATTGGCTAAAATGGGTTCATATAATAACCAATGCATTCACTTACCAACTGTCATATTCACTTAACAATTATTGCATTCTCTTAGCAACTGCTGCAAAAAAAAGACATAAAAATAAAATATCACATCACACTATTTTTCCGTCTATAACACGCACCCTTGTATAAGACCCCCCCAATTACGGTACTGGTACTTCTCGGTACCATCACACAAGGGAGGCGACTTCCTCCAATCATGGCACTTTGCGGGTTTAGTCCTGCCCACCCCCTCGGCCGTCAATCACTGTACTGAGGTGGCTTCCCAGGGCCTCTTGTGGCTTCAGCCCAAGCTGCGCCGGTGAAAAACAGGTCATAGAAGGCAGCTTCAGTGGGACCGTGGCATCCTTGGGGGAGCGTGATCCTCCAGCACCAGGCAGCATCTCGGGCTGGCTTTCTCCCCATCTAGGTGGCATCTCAGGCCAGCGATATCCTCCTGCACCAGGCAGCATGGCAGCAGCATGTAAAGAACCCACACAGGCATGCTCTGGGCTGCAGAGGTTACCATTATTTTTTTGTGTATAAGATGCTGCAGTTGTATAAGACACACTGGATTTTTGAATAGGGTGTTTGCAGGAAAAAAAATAGCATCTTATACAGGGAAAAATACGGTAACTGGCTCAACTTACAACCACAGCTTTGGCCTCAATTATGGTTATAGGTTGACTGCCTATATAACTTTTGTGCATGCAGCAGCAAAAATTGTATGGTGAACTGCACAACTTCTGCTAGTTTGAAAACTGTTCCAGCCTTTATCCAGAATGTCAAAGGTCATTTTTCAAAAGTAGGACTAGACTGAAGGAGTTTACTTATTTAAAAATATATATGCTATCTATCTCATGATGTGTCTAGGCAGCAGACAAGGATAAATTCATAAACAAAAATTAAAATTATGCAGCCAAGAACACTATCCATATAGCCAGGAGGCAGGTTCCTTCACACACTTGGGGCCCCAGGCCTGAGCACAGAATTGGCTTTTTAGGGCCTTGCAAAAGGCCAGGAAGATTGGGGGCTACCCTATCTCTGGAGGGAGAATGTTCCAGAGGCAGACACTATGGCAGAAAGTCTTGTCTTCTGGGGCCCCCCCACCCTAGATTTCTTAGCAGACGGGACTTGGAGAATGCCCATCCTGCTGGACTGGGATATGATAGGTAGAAACAACCAGGGAAGGACAATCCTTTAAATAACCTGACCCCATACCGTGAAGAGCTTTACATGTGACACCCAACACCTTTAACTGCACATAGAAGCCTACTGGCAGTCAATGCAGCTCAAGGAACAATGGTAGACATGCATCAATAACCAGCACTATTAACTACATGTGCCATTGCATTTTGCTATAGTTGAAGCTAAGGATTTAAGTGGGTGAAATGAGTGGAAGACTGCAACTGGCATTATTTGTTACCTGTACTATTGCATTCTGCACCAGTTGAAGCCTCTGAAAGTTCTTCAATGACAGTTCCATGTAGAGAGCATTGTAGTAGTCCAGATAGAAGGCCACAAGGCATGAGTAACAATGAGCAAGACCTCCTGATCTGGTGCAAGAACTGGTGCAACTGGTGCAACGTGCACACAACCTGAAGCTGTGCAAAGGCTTTCTTAGCCAGGGCTGCCATCTGTTCTTTAAGCAGGAGCCCTTAGTCCAGGAGGGCACCCAGATTGTACCCCGAGTTTGTCTAAGACAGTGTGTTACTTCGTCCAAGACTCACAATGCAAGGTCCTTATTACTATAAAGTCAAAGTATTCAAAGCCACTCAGACTTGCTTGAATTGGGCTGAAGCCTATTATGCCCCATTCAGATTCTCATAGCCTCCAAACACTGGGACATGACATCCATGGCATCACTCAAATGGCCTAGGGTGGAAATATAAAGCTTAAATATCTATTGCAATCGTAACTGTAACTAAACACTATCAACAGGCTATCAACAAGACTGGACATTGCTGCTCCATAAGTATTGGTTATTTTTCCACAAATGTGAATCCTTGCTTAAATTTTTTAAATGATGTATGTGCTTAGGAATACCTAGGAACATACGTTAACAGCCAGAGGCATTTTGTCAGAAGTTGGATATTGCTTTATAATATGTTGGCTTCCGTTTTTTGTTTCACAATACTGTATTTATTTTAAACAATAGGTAGGGCAGGAAGCATAACGGATACTCTGCTCTTTCAAGTAGATACTATGAGTTATTGTTTGAAAAAAATCAAACTTTTACGTATCATTTGAAAGAAATGTTGGATTTCTATCAGCAAGATCTGGAAGATTTATTTTCAGTTTGTTTATTTTCTCAAAACAGTGACAAAAGGTATTACAATATGCTCACACATCCAGAAACATTAGATTAGTAAAAGTTTCATTACTGTTTCTTCCTGAAAACAGCAATTTCAATATAGAATGTGGGGTCCTTGGTGCTCTCTAAGCTTGGCTATTTTCTTGCAGATGTTTCATTACCAAACTAGATAACATGATCAGCTCACACTAGAAAACAACCAAGCTCATACAGCATCAAGGACTTCACAGTTCAGGCATGAGCCACAACTTTCTCTTCTACTACAGAACTTTCTGTAATAGAGAAAGATGAAAACCATTCAGCTACGGTATTTTCCAACCCCTTCATATGTCTTTATTCAGTGGCCCAACTAGACCAGCTTTTTTCACCTGAGGTTCTATGTTTCACATGAGATTTAACATAATTGTCAACCACTGTCCACTAGGGGTCGTATTTTATTAATCTATTCAAAAGTCAGAACCTTCTTTTTTAAACTATAAGCTACCCTTAGAAATTTATTGCTGACAACCTGATAGTTTTAACCAAAACGCTGTGTGCATATTACAAAAGGAAAAGCTATTATTCCACTCTACAGGCTAAATTACTCCATTAATTACTGTTCCACAAATAAAAGTACATTATTCATTGTTGTTGTTAATTGCAAAGTCGTGTCCGACCCGTCGCGATCCCATGGACAATGTTCCTCCAGGTCTTCCTGTCCTCTACCATCTTCTGGAGTCCATTTAAATTCACACCTACTGCTTCAGTGACTCTATCCAGCCATCTCATTCTCTGTCGTCCCATTCTTCTTTTGCCCCTTCATTATTTATAAAACAGATTAAACCTGATAGGTGATGAAGCAGGACAATGAACAATTTTGGAAAAGAGAATCAAGATCACAATTTTTGAGGGACATACGGGTAGATTTAAAGTAGATGAAGAACTACTGAAAGATTTCTAAAATAATTGTAGATTAGCAATAATAACTGGTTTTCAATTATATTAATAGGTTTCCTTTGGGCAAGGGGGAATAGCTTACCTTTTTAAAAATTTAAGCATATGACCTCAGTTTTCTGTAAACATGTATCTGTGCTCTTACTCTGCTATTCTACATTCAAAACTCAACTGGACAACTTAATCAATTTCTCCAAGATCCCTTTCAACTCTGTTAATTCTGTTCTGTTCTGTATTTGTCCCGATAGATGGCCTCTAGGCTGCCGCACTAAGAGACAGAGGAGCAGCACAGTAAGTTATACATTTAGCTTTAATGGCTAGCAGTTCAAAACAGCAGCATATAAAATTAAAGCAGCATTAAACAACATATAAACCACAAATATAACACATTGTTGTGTAAAGTGCAGCAACTAGTGGGTTTCCTTCCCTCAGAAAAAAAATGTATCTACCCACCTGAGTAGCTGGGACTGTGGAAAGAGACCAGTTTTGACACACAGCTATACCTTTGGCTTTAGCTGTCCCACAGATCCTGATCTACATAGTGTGTATGTGGTGTGTGTGTGTCTCCTAGTAATGCAGGAAAGGCTTTCCTCTGCCACTTTACTGGAAAATCCTGGCCCACCTTGTGGATGATCTGCAATTACTCTCCCGCTCTTGCTCCATCTGTTTCTCACACTCTCTCAACGCTCGGTTCACCTGTCTCACTCATTTATCTGCCTCATTCTCTTATCTTTTCTGCCTCTTCTTTGTTGCTGTAATTCTTTTCTACCACTTTAATCCCCTCATTTAGTCATTATTCTTCCACATTCATCTGTCTCACTGAAAAAAACTGATGGGGGAGTTAATGTTTGCTATGAGAGTCCACATGCAGATGAGGATTTTACAGGATGCTTGTCAACACTTTGCAAAGCACAGGGCAGGCATTACATAGGCAGATACTTAAGTGTCTGATCTTTTCTACTGTGAAAGTCAAAATGGCCATACTGCACAGAGGGAAGTTATGAGCAACTGAAGAAGACAGGGCATCCTAACAACAGCCCAAAGTAGCCCCTACCATTACTGGGGTGCATAACAGTAGGGAAGTGGGTTCCCATGTATGCTTATTTGAATTGCCGAATGGTTTATTAGAAATCTGAGTTGAGTTACATTTCTGAATTGTTGAGTCATTTGTTTGGATGAAGCTTAAGTTACCATTTTCCTCTGGGTTTGCAATTCCATTTATGTATGGTTTTTTTAGCTTATTATAAAACTTTTATGCCTCTTTTATCTGATCAGTTTAAGTTCACAATTTAATACTATTTATGTCTTCTTAAAAGGAACCTGAGTCCATTAAGATTTAGTACTACTATAGGAGGGTAGATAAAAGTTGTTTCATTTTTGTGGTCTTGTCTTTTTCCCCTCTCCTCCCGGAGGATAACAATGTGTCCATTATTGGCACCTGTCAAACTCCCTGACCCATTTATTTCTTAAAGACTCTTCTAATAGAAAAATGAGTAGAAATTTAGTATGCTGTCAAAGCAAAACATTAGCCTCAAGTATAACATGTATGTCTCAATAGAGCACAGAAGCCTTCTTAGAAGAGCAAATGGTGGGCGGCTACACCATCCAGCACTTCCCTTCTGGTCAATGGATATTTGGCGATGACTTGACATGGAAGGTGTGATCGCTTTAGATCGCTCATAACATACTCTTAAAATTCCAAATAGGCCATTGACTCAAAGCACTTGAAACCTGTGGTTAAAATAAAAAGCCAGTGTTTTGTAATGTCAGCAATGTAGAATGTATATAACCATTGTAAGATTTGGTGAGTTATCCCATTGTCCTACTCATCTTTCACATTTTTATTTTAAAAAAACTAATCTGTCAGGAATCAGTTTGAGCTTAGAGGCAAAGAAATACTTATAATCAGTGCTTTTTTTTCTAAAAAAAAAAAAAAAAAGTGCCGGAACTCACATACGTCATACAACCCGCCTTACATACTCTACAAGGTTTCATCCAAAAAAGGTGCCGGGACTCCATTCTGGGCGTTCTATGAGAAAAAAAGCCCTGCTTATAATCAACACAATACAGATTTTCAATAATGGTTGAAAATTGTATATATTCCTGTATTATCAAGCTATATTATCACTTACATTTTAGCTGCATCATGTCCCTGGGATATGAAATCTTGTTTACCTAACTACATGACTTAATTCTTGTAATCTAACCTTACAGTTGCCACATGAAAATAAAAAATCCTCCTTTCCTATTGGTTGATTCATGGATCTTTAACAATTTGCTTGGTAGCTTTATTGTTTTGCATAGTTGCACATAAAAGATTTATTATTTCAAGCCTATGCACAAGAATCTATTCAACTAAAGTTCAAATCTGAATTGGCCAAATAAGAGTGAACGGAATTTAAGGGAGTCTGGCAGAGAACGTTTGTGGCAACATAAGGACTCTTAAACTGATGACACATTTAACTCCATCCCTCAGCTCTGCCTGTTCTTCTTCTACAATTATACACATAAAGAAAATGCATTTTGCACCTAAGAGAGAAATGTACATAAATGTTTACACAGGCCATAAATAAGGGACTAATACAGTTAGCTAATGATAATCAATAAAAAGATTTATCTGGGTATATTTTATTTAGGTTTTGAGAAGAACGGAATAAATATAGAAAAGGTGGATTATTGTTAAGATACTGAGAATTTCTGCATTTTTATGTTGCTCATTAAGAGTAACAACAGCTATTTTTTCTGTAATTTCATTTAGCTGCACTTCATGTGGACCCTTAAGATTTAGGTCTCTTACAGCTTTCACGGGAGATGCACCACAGGAAATGTCAGATTGCATCCTGATTTCAATGGGATTCTATAGAGCCTATTAGACTGGTCTACCCCTACAACTGAGGGATGCAGATTGATTTTAGAGAAAGTTGGGAGTCCAGGGTCATAGCTGTGTGCACCAGTAGGCTCTGGCTATTTCACATGCTTGTTGTGGACAGCAGGCTGAAGGCCACTATTTGTGGAGTGCTCCAAAGAGTCTCTTCAAAATGGATTAATAGATTTCAAAATGAAAAATATAATTCACTATTAAATTAAAAGAAACCGTGATGGTACAAACACTGCACACAAAAATTAGGAGACTTACTCAATAATGACAAACTAGGAAAAGGAATTACAGTGTATGATTTGATGGAAATGTGACTCTAGTGTGCAACTGCTATAAAAAGCAAATTCTATGCTTGGAATAAGTAAGAAGGAAACAGAAAACAGAACACACTAATATAAAAATAAGATAAGACCATCTGGAAGTTTATGTACAATTTTTGCCATTACACCTTAGAAGAATATTACCAAGTTGGAAAAGGTGAAAAATCAGGGAAACCAAAATTATTAAAGGCCTGGAGCAGGTCAGATTTGAGGTGAAACTATAACTGGGGTTCTTCACATTAAAATGAAGGACCATAAAGAAAAACATAAGAGAGGTATAAAAATCATCATGAACGGCATAGACAACATGAATACAGATAATTTTTAAAAATCTCTTAGAAATACTGTTAAGATAATCTACTATGCTAAATAATCAAAGATTTAGAGCCAACAGAAGGGCATACATTTTCACACAGTGCAGTAACAATGGACATTTAATATCATTTTAATCATAAGTAGCATGCCTGTTTATACATTGGTTGTTGGGAAATGACAGTTGAAAGATGCTTTTTCCATCCATCCAAGACCACAATGTTCCCAAATTCATCCAGTTGATCAAAGAATGCCAATATGGTGCAGTGATTAAAGCATTGGACTAGAAACTTGGAGACCACAGGCTCTAGTTCTGCGTTAAACATAAATGTTAGCTGGATGTTTTTGGACCAGTCAGGCTCTCAGCTCAATCTACTTCACAGGGTTGTTGTTGTGGGAGAAAGAGGAAATGGGTGCACTATACATGCCATCTTGAGATGCACAAAATAAAAGGATATAAATTTAATAATAATTTTTAAAACACTATGGGACTCAGAATGTTTCATTATATGGGAATATACCACGTCTAGCAGGGATCTTATTGTTGTCCCTTTTATCTCCACAGGATATTACAACTAACTTACCTTTTTTCTAGAGACGGATGTATGGACTGAAACTAGTGATCATTTAAAAACATATCAATAGTCTCCATCATTTGTAAATAATGATGGTAATAATTATTGCTATATTTGTAATCATGGTACTAATAATGGCACTTTGCTTCGCAGCATGCTAGCTTATACTCAAGTGATGCAGAAAGCCTGGTGGTCTTGCTGGTGTCTGCTGTCCATAGGCATCATGAATATTTCTCGACTTCTTTTGTTCCTTCATTTACCGTATCTATCTTTTACATACTACTAAAACTCTTGTTCCTGTAACCTTTAACTGGATGAAATAGTGCATCATATGACAAAAGTCTTTGAATCAAGGTACCTCAAAATGGGCTAACTTATAGAATGCATCTGAAATCCAAAATCCATGACTCCCATGGAATTGAAATTTGGCAAATTTATATAAAAATTGGCATAAAATTATCATAAAACATTTTATGACCTAATACAAAACATCATAAAACAATTCCTTTGGCCAACTCCTGATGTTTGACTGTGCGACACAGTTGAACATGGCTTATTTTCAAAGCACATCCATCTTGACTGCATCCCAACTTTTCCAGTGAAGGCAGTATCTAAGAAGCTCTGCCATTGTTGAAGGCATTGAAGGCACAGATAAGTTGAAGACCTGATACAAACATGATTGAGGAATCTGGTAAGGAAATATCTTCGGCATGATGATCCAATGGGTCATAGGTTATCTAGTATATTTTCAACACTGGTACTCAAAAAAGCTAATAATAGTTAAACTGGAGACATAATACAAAACATAATTATATGTGATACTTAAAATTCTTATTAGTACAGTATTTTTCAGTATTAATAAAGGTACATCATTGTTTATTTCTCTTAGAAGATTAGGAAACTGATGATACCACAGACAATGCTGAAAAATAAAAATAAGGATCAAAAACAGGACTCCTGGCTTTTCACCTACATAACCCTATTTAAATATTTCCACTTCTCTTTTTCTCTTTTTTTATAACAGCCCCTACTTCTGTGCACATGTTGATCTTGGCACTGCACAGTGAGTTCACATTTTTATCACATCTTCATTAATATCTGATAGGTTTGAATGCCAGTTGGCTAAAATGTTGATGGTATTGTTTATTCTGCAAACAAAACTGAATTCATCAAATTTTGCAGGCAGCAATAAAATGCCACACTCCAACTTAGCATTTTCAAAGGTTGCTCAGGAAATTGTGCCTAGAAAAATAATGGACAAAAATCAGTCTAAAAACAGTTATAGTCTCACTTGCCTGATACAGGGTAGCCCTGCAATATGAGGAAGTGCACGAGAAAAGACAGCTGATTTTACAGAAAGCCAGATAGACATTTTAAAGTGCTGTTACACACAGTCAAAGTCAGCTCCTTTCTCAGAAGAAGGAATCTTTATGAACCAAGAAATAATATTGTTTCCACAGCTTTCCGGGGAGTTAATAGAGGGAGGATTCTTGTGCACAGGGATGGTAAGATGTCCAAAAACTGATGGTTAAGGCAGAAAAAGTCCATCTTTGGGTTTATTACCCTTTTATCTCTCTTCAGGTTGGGAGTGGGTAGAGGGATTCAGTTTGAAGAAAACAGCTTCAAAAGTATCCAGAAGTCAAGCCATAAAGTGTTTTAACACACTTTAAATTGGATTCAAAAACCTATTATCAGCCAATGCAGCAACTACAGTTCTATTGTATTGCTATTAAAATAGTTACACTGATCTGAATTACTGCATTTAGGACCAGCTGTAATTTCTGTGTCATCTTCAAAGGCAGCCAACCAATACATTAGGACATATGTATGTCTACAGAGGTTTTCAATCATTCAGTTTGCCCCAAGTCCAGTTGCCTTTGGGACAATACATTAAGAGTAAAAAGTGTGTGCTGAGAGTGAGTCATACTATCAGAGGTTTCTGGTCTGGAAAGGACTGCAACTGGCATAAGAACCAAAACCTAGCAAGTGGTCTTTTGGCCAGGACCTTCATCTGCTGCCAGAAACAGCTATGAGTTACAGCTACAGCAACTCACCTCTTGTAAAATTCAATCCCATCCAGAGCCGATACTGAAGCCAAAAAGAAAGTTGTTCCAGATATAGCTGTATGAATTGTAATCCATCCAGCTAAGATAATTTAAGCTGGTTATGTCCCATCAGTTCCTTACAGCTTCCAGGAAAATATAACAATCTTTGTTACGTCGACGGCCAGGTCTACGTAGGTGGCAGTATACAACTGGATACCAGTGACAAACTGATACTTCACCTCACACTGCTGGATGACCTATTCCATGGATTTCACATAGATATTAAAACAACCTAAGGAAGAGAACTGGGTGGTTAGACTGCTTTTCTCTCCTGCCAATGAACATGCTCAGGACAGAAGAACAGCGCTTCACATTCCCACCTTTCACGAGAGAGTTCAGAGCTCATACTATAAGAGCAATTTTTTTCCAGCCTTAACAAGGTAAAAAATCATGGATAATGTCACAAGATCCTGCTGTAGTGTTCTTGCTAAGCTTTGAAAAGTGACATTCAATACTGAGCAAGTATGAACAAGAAAGAATTTCATGGTCGTGTATTAATAAACAGAAGGGAAGATCTCCCACTTATTCTTGCCCTATTTGCTGACCCACAAAAAGTAGAATATGAATCATCACAGCAAGCCTCACTCATTTCAGCTTACCAACTGGTCAGGTTGTAAAGTGCATAGCAGGGAACATACTGCTAATATTTACCATTGCTGATTATGTAAAACCAGAGATTTAACACAGAGCCACTGGGAAGAAATAGTTTACAGCTTTCTAGTACCTCTCAAAATACTCTCAAGATCATCAGAAGGAAAAAGACTAAATTTTGCCCCATCTGATTGACCCTGCTTGAAATGATCAGTTTCATGCTCCTGAAAAACAATTATTTCAAGCAACATTGCTCTGAAGGAACTCATTGCTTTTCTATCTCACCCAATGTTTTGTTCAAGCTAAGCACGTTTTACATAAATCATTTTATTTGAGGGTGAATGTACTGTACCAGCATAATTATGCTTTCCTAACAAATCAATGCAGAATCCTTCTAGAACGTAGATTTCTGCTTTGCTTGCACTATTTACCACAAATCCATAGCACTTTTCCCAATCAGTTACTAGCAGCTCAGTTTTCATCTGTAAATATGAAAAATAATTAGTAATCACGGGTATAAGGCCTTTATAATTATCAGGGGCCCTTGATGGAGGGGAAGAGTTTAATTCATAGTGAAACCATTTCTTGAAATCATTCCTTGTACTGGCAGAAAGTATCCCACTTACATTAATAAAGGGTTTTAGTCTCATTAATTTTTCTTCAAATCCCATAATTATCAGCCTATTCCTCTGTTCATTCCCTATAACTTTACATTTTTAAAAGGTGTCTGTTAAATACAAAATGCCATTCTTACTTTGGCTATAATAGAACAGGTGTAGATATTTATAAGGTTCCAAACATGGCATTGTTATCCCTACCATCACTAGGGAAAAAAATTCCCATTGCCATCATCTGTCTTCATTTATTCCTCAGAACACTAGCCAAGTATGAGAAAGTATCTTCTCACTTCTTCCCATTTGCCACTAAAATGGCATGTTTTAGCTATATCTACTCCCTGCTAGTGACTTAAATATAAATATTTTTTGCTGGAGAAAATTATTGCCAGTGCACAGATGTATTTGTGTATATGGATTAGGGGAGGCCACAATAAGTTTACTTTCCCCCAATTTTCCCTTTGAAATTGTAGTAATTGATTCAGTTTAACAGCTTCTTCTTGAAATACTCAAAAAATTGTGAATGAATGTTTGACAACTTTTATTTTAAAATATACTAACATAAAACAGCGTTCACTAAAAGCATAATGAAAATGTAGAATTAAAAGTTTCTAATTTGAAATCCAAGACTGATTATCTTCCAGGCAGAACAGTCATAATACCACACTAGTGTCCAAATAGGAACATTTTTGTAAGTGCTCAGAGTCTCTTTCATGTGAGATGGGCAACTATACAAATACAATAAATAAAACACTTCATAGGTAGTCCTTGACTTACGACTATTTATTCAGTGACCATTCAAAATTACAACAGTGTTGAATGAAGGGATTTATAACCTGTGCCTAAATTTACAGTTCTTGCAGCATCCCATCATGCGATGAAAATTTATGTGCTCAACCTACTTTCACTCACAATTAAAGGGATATTGCTACTCTCCTCTAACGTATCTCCACCCCGACTATGCTCTTTTGATTATCCTGCAAAGTGGTACTTGTTAGCCGTGATATAAAAAGATTAATTAGGCAGATGGCAGTGGGCTCTGGACTGCAATTCAGAAACCAGGAGTGGAGGATGCATAAAAAAAGGGTAATACAGGTCCATGCTGTTTGATTTTGTACAATGTCAGAAAAGGGGTGATGTAGTTATGATCAAATGAGAAACCTAATGGGCTCTATCAAAGTGAGTAACAAAAAAGTAACTCCTATAATTTAAGTAATATAATCCAAAGTATTCAACACAGGCAGGAGTTATTCCCAATGGATTCCACACAAGAGAAACAAGCAGAGATATGAATGAGGTAATGACATAAGGTAATGCTAGCTAGGTATTGCCTTCAGTGCCTGGAAGAAAGATGGGATGTAAATACAAATCAATAAATAAGACTAACTGTACTCTCTGTTGCTATATTACATTTTTACAATTGCTTTATGAAAGCCCTACAATGGCCTTTACTACACCTTATCAAGTTGTCCTATACAGTAACATTTCTTTTCACCAGACCAATCCTCCCTCCACACTTTTTTCCTCTGGAAAAAAGACCACTCTAGACATAGAAAAAGAGAATGGCCCAGAACTGAATACCTAACCCCCTACCTTCTATCCATTTCTCCCATCCTATCATCATTGCACAAAATTACCAATTTCATATCCATGTTTTTTTAACAAACAGCACACCCTTCCTTAAAAAAATCCACCACTAATAGCTGGAGACTTCTGGGAGAATCTTATGCACAAAAGTTAATTTATTTTGGCCAATGAAAACTTGATGTACTTAAGCTTCAGCGTGCAGCACTTTTGAGATGGCACAAGATATTGTCTTCCCCGTCCCCCCCCCCAGCCCTAGAAGTAGCGCTTTAAAACTGCACTCAATAAAAGATTTTTTCCGACATGATGGGCGTCTTTATGTAGATACCTTCCTGAAGAGACCCAGCATGGCTCTTTAGTTATTAAGCAAACGATCTTCCCTGCCCACTTCGCTTCTCCCACAGGAACCCGGAGAAGGAAGAGACGGGGTGGGATGGGACGTGACACTGACTCAGCCAACAAGAGGGACTTACCCAAGAGCTGCGCTGGGACACGCTACCGGTTTCTGTACACGCAGGAATGACTCCTTCTCCACGCTGCCGGGCAGCCGCTGATCACGCGTGACCGCCGCTCGCCGATTGGTCCGAGCTTCACACACCTTTGAAGGCGATTGGCCGGGTCTGCGCCCGCCTTCGTCTACGCTAAGCTGGGGAGACACTACCTGAATGGGGAGCTGCCCGCGAACAAAAAGAGAAAAATAAAGGCAACGCCAAGCAGAGTGCCTGAGGCGGGGAGGGGGACGGTGCTTGTCAACAACTGCAGCCTGCCCTTTTAGCATCCGTCCACCGCCTAACGCTGCAGGCTTGCCATCAGAGTCATGCTAAATTTTGGAGAGTCCGCTTTCCAGCACACCGTAAGTACAGATCTAGACAGCTCGGGGGAAAATAATCGCTTATCGAGGCAAGATAAATAAGCCCTCATGGGAAAATCTTGTCCTGGGTGCGGAAAGAGATGGAAAAAGCTAAATCTGCTCAGGAAAGCAATTCAGAAAGAGGCTATATATGCTTCCGTGCGAGGCGTGTAAAAGGAAACGACGTCTGGGGGGGGGCAGGGAGCGTGAGCTGCCCCTCGAAGGGGAGAGGGAGGCGGCATGCATGCCAGAACCCTGTTGGAGAGTCTGCGGGGTCAGAGCTCCAGGATGAACGCGCGACTATTAAAAGTGATCGATTTTGGACGAAGGTGAGCGGGCCGCAAAATGGGGTGCAATGGAAAGGAGCACAAACGTTGCTAGGTAACCTATTGGAATTGGCAACGGACTGACAAGCAAACTTTGCTAGAAATTGCGGGTTTGGGAAAACAGGGAGCCTCCAAGGGGTCAATGGGGAGTCCTTGGAAGGCATGAGGGAAATCGGTATCTTGCGCTGGAGGGCAGTTAGGGTTTGACGGGGCGGGACACTCTGAGGGACGAGGATGGGAAGAAGGGGAAGGCGCTTAGCTGAGAGGTTAGCTAATTTAAGGAATTGGGGGAGGGGGGGCGAGACACGATGGTAGCTGGAAGGGCTACTCCGGGAAGTGAAGGCGGGCAGAGACGGCGCTGGGAAAGGGTGTACAGTTGCTGAAAGCAGCCTCGGTGAAAGGGAGGAAAGGGCCGTGAAGTCATTGCGGGTGCCGAGTCCAAGCGGGAAACCAGAAAGCAAGAGGGGAAAGCCGAGGGCGACTCTCGCTCTAGACTGGGAAGTCGAAACGGGTCAGGAAGCGCCACTCCTGGATAGCATAGACGCCTCCGGAGGGGGGGCGGTCCAGGCCAGCGGGGGTCGTGATGGGGGGAAGGGCGGGAGGCAGGGAACCCAACGCCTGGCTAAGAACTTCTCTTCCCTCGCATTTCCGCCTCTTCTTGTGACCGGCCTTGGCGGGAATGTTCGCCCCCAGAGCGGCCCCTTCCGCCCGCCCCCCCCAGCAGCCGTGGGGCCCTGCGCTCCTGCAGCGAGGCGAGCAGACAACTTCAACCGTCCAGCGCCTCTTGAAGCGCCTTCCCCGCGCTGTAAATGGGGCCACCCTGCGGCTGTGGAGCCAATCAGGCTGGCGCGGGAAGAAGGTGGGCGGCGGGGCTTCAGAGGCCAAGGTCTGCCGGTCGCGCCGCGCCCTGGTATTGGAGCCTTTCTCGGAAAAGGCGGGATGCCGCCCTGCTCCGGCGAGCCCGCCAGCCCGCCCACCCGGCTTTGCCTCCAGGCGTGGGAGCGACCTGCTGATAGCAGTGGGGGGGAGGGGAAGAGGAGAGAAGAGGCCGCACAGAAGTGGGTGAAAGGTCGCCGCGCGGCAAAGCCCAGTTCACGTTCCCCGACGCCGAGGAGCAGCCCCCGATCACGCTTTGTTCACATGTCTCCACCCACTTTTTCGGGCGGGGCCAACCAATCACAGCCCGTGCTGCCTGCCTCGAGGAGCCAATGGGAGAAGGACGGGGGCCGCCCTGGAAGGAGGGGGCGAGCTGTTTGGAGGGACGGGTGAGTCACGTCGGAGGCGTTCTGAGGTGAACGTGGCTCGCTTCCAAGATCCGGCTGCCAGCGAGGAACTCCCTGGCCTCGATTTTCCCCCGTAGCCTGACTTGCTGAGCGGCCTCTGCTGGCTGGCAACCTGGTTCCCCCCGGAGTTTCCAAGGTGAAAATAGCCTTTCTGTCGCGTAGGCGCTGAAAATTTGCAGAAGCCGGGCGTCGGAGTCGCTCTGTCTCGGGGAAACAAAACCACTTTCGGAAGAATTCTGATTATGTACGTTTTTTCACTTCCTGGAAAGGAAAGCGGTCTACAGATACTACAAATGAAATCCTGGTTGCGTTTAAAACATTATTTATCAACTGCAGCAACTTTAAGATGTGTGGACTTCAATTCCTAGATTTGCCAATGTTGAGATACACTGCTTTAAGACAAACCAAATACAAAACGTGGCCACTTTTGCACGTAGAGAAACGTGGCGTTGAATAAGCCACAATCCAATGATAACCTACAGCATAAACAGTAGTAGAACTACAGTGTGGGACTGCAAACATTTAAACCACCACTTGAGGGTAGCAAAAAATTGAACGTTATGTTGCGTTTATTTAAGCAATTTGTATGGTTGCTTATCTGACAGCACTGCCTCTAGGTAGCATACAGAAAAATAAGACCAAATCACAACTGAATACAATTCGTTAAAGTAACTGAAAATGTTACAAATACCCAGGGTCTCAAAACATTCATATTCACACGCAGTAACAAAACTATAAACCATGATCAAACAAGTCAGCCAGTGTGGTTCACTTAGCATTCTGGTCCAAGGGTACAACCAAGTCTTTAATTGCTTGTGAAAAGTCAAGGGCTCTTCCATAGGGCAGTTGTTCACATGGAGAAGAAAGCATGGCTCTTAGGGACATACTAGGACCCAGAGCAAAACAACCAAGATGGGCCCTAAACAGTGCAGGATTCTCATATTAAACTAAGCTGAAGCTAAGTTAGGCATATTCCATTTTGACCAGGGTATGTGAACTTAGCTAAGTTGCATATGTTGTAGAAATAGAATAATGTGGTTGGCTAAATTTGGCACTGTTGCATGAATCTAATTGGTTAGTGCGGGCATGTCAAATTCGTGACATCGCGCAACGTGTCGGACCGGTTTTGCCATTGCTGGCAATGGGATGGGCGCGGCTTCCATGTGGCCTGAGGGCTGGCAGTTTGACACCCCGGGGTTAGTGACTAACCAGTTAGTGGTTGTATGAGGTGCTTGTCCAATGGTTAATTAAACCATGATTTAGGAAATTAATTTGACTGCCAAGGTTGCCACTGTACACTGGCTGTAGTTAGAGAATATACTGAATCACAAAAGTAATCAACCACTAAGATATTATAGAAACCCAACCTGTATGTTTAGTTTATGTACAGTCTTTCTCATCTATGAATTGAACCTTGCTAAAGTATCTCTGGTAAGATGGAGAAGCATTCATATTTTCATGTGTACATCATAGCTGAAAAACAACAAAACCTGGGGCCAACACTGATGTGTTTAAACATAGGATTTTTGGTCCAATGGCTTACTTGGTTGAACTTTAACTTAACAGCCTTGGTAATTGAGCTTCTAAATATTTTGCAATCAAAGAGATTTATTTGACTTCCTGATTGTATTGATTTTAAAGAAAGTAGAGAGATAATTGTTACGTTATGATTACTATGTTTGTACATCCTAAAATAAATCTTAAGGATAGAAAAAGTAAATTTGGACTGGAACTTAGTGTTGTTCCTTATATTTTATTTTTGTGACTTTTTGGTAGGTTTTGCATTTTTAATCAGTTTAGCTGATCAACACCTTTATGTGTTACTTAATAACTGAAAACTGTTGCGTTTCCTCCCCCCCCCTTAGGAAGAAGGAATGGAAATGATAGCTAAAAAGCAGTGCCTCAGGAAGTGTTATTGGAACTATACCAATGAAAAGAGTGCTTTTGAAGCAGTGGAAGCTCTCATGTCCATGAGCTGCAGTTGGAAATCAGACTTCAAAAAGTATGCTGAACGGAGGCCAATGACACCAGCTTCAGATACATCTGAGGAATTTGAAGACAACTTGCTACCTCCTGCTGATTTTCGTACAATACCGGCTTTTGTAAGTTTTATTCTGTTATAAATTACTAATTTACAGCTTAGTGTTGTGCTCTGCTTAGTTTGTTGCCACTTATTCTAAGATAAACATCTCTCAGATAAAAGCTAAAATCTGCAGAAATCCAAGTCCTCATAAATAGCTCACTACTCTTTGCTTTGTTTTTTTCAGTGTTTAACTCCACCCTACAGCCCTTCTGCTGACCTTGAAATGTCTCAAGCAGTTCATCCAGCAACAACATCAGCGCCCCCTTGTGTACAGAACAAGCCATGTCCGGACCTTTCTGATCAAGTCTTTACAGTATCTCCTAAAGAGACCCAGAATGTTCCAGTGCCAAGAATATTGAGAGCTCAGGCAACCAGTGTCATTCGCCATACAGCAGATGCTCAGCTTTGCAGTAGCATAACCTGTTCAGCAAGAACAGACTATGTTAGGAAGAATGATGATAACATGGGGGAAGCAAACCAGAATGGCAATACAAAATCACATTCAGAAGACAATACAGAAGAAAAACAACATTTATCTTGTAAAAGCATATTGCTGAATACTGCATTTTCTGAAGATAAGCCGACAACCATACAAGAATCCAAAAGTCCATTACAGGCTGTGAGCCCAGTGCCTTTCCAGCAGACTGTACTTGATACCTCTCCTTCTGTCCCTTGGCCTCCAAAAGTAGCCCCTCCATCTTCTTTGCAAGTAGGAGGAGTCTCTTCTATGCCATTGGTTTGCCAGATGGTTCCATTCTCTGGTAACAACTCGCTTGTGACAGCAATAGTATCTAACACTCCTTGTGGTCAATTGCCATCAAACCTTTGTCATCCAATGGTCTTCATGGGAACTCAAGTTCCCAAACCAGCAGTTATGTTTGTAGTGCCACAGACTGTTGTACAGAATGCCAAGGCTCCAGTGACCAGTCCTCACAGCACCAGACTATCCCCTATTGCTCCTGCTCCAGGTTTGGCCCCTCCTGCCACAAAGATCACTCCATCTGTTGACTCTCTCAGAACAAGAAGCCATATTTGTAATTATCTGGGCTGTGGAAAAACATATTTTAAAAGCTCCCATTTAAAGGCACATGTTAGAACACATACAGGTAAGCTATGGAGTTGTCCAGTGTGAAAAATTCTAAATCAGACATGTCAAACACAAGGCCCGGGGGCTGGATGCGGTCCACGAAGTGGTTTCATGTGGCCCGCGAAGCCATCCTGGAAACAGTGAGGGAACGGCCCCCCGCTGCCTTGGCTCTGGCCCAGGCCAGCCAGGAGCCAACGTATAATTTTGTGGTGGCCATCTATGCTGAAATGCATTCAGTCTTAGCTCCATAAGCCCCTCCCCCATGGCCTGAGAGGAACAGTGAGACTCCTCCAGGGGACCATGCCTTGGCACTTGCCCTGGTCCCACCGCCTTCTGCCAGAGATGGTCAGATCTATCCTACTCCACGCCCCCATAGGCACCCTTGACGCGAATGATGTAGAGCTGGCCACACCCACTCCATCCGCACCCACCCAGTAGGCCGCACCCACCCAGCCCCCTGAGGGTGACCGCAATGCTGATGCGGCCCTCAATGAAATTGAGTTTGACATCCCTATTCTAAATTAACACGATGGGGAGATTTGCTGTTATTCACCTATGCAACTGTTTCCAAATGTTTTGGTCTATATGTTTTTATGAGAAACTGGTAACAAGGAAGGAAAGTATCACTTATAGATAAGGAGCATGTCAGATTTATAATTTGAAAGTTAGATTTCTTTTGCTCAGAATAAAACCGCTAATGTCAACCTTCACAGATTGTTACTAAAATATAATTTAACTTAAAGAAGATCAGAAGGTCTAACTTGGAGACATGAATTATAATTTATATTTTGATTATATGGAACTATAAGAATGCAGTAGATGGCACATAATATTTTGCTTGGGTTGTGATATGACTACCATTATTACTTTTCAAACTTTTTTCTATTTTATTTATTCTCTGGTATTAATAAAGGTCTGTCCCTTGCTAATAATAAAAAACCCACTTGTGCCTTAATTCTTCATTTTGTATTTTAGGAGAAAAGCCATTCAGCTGCAGTTGGAAAGGCTGTGAGAGAAGATTTGCCCGTTCTGACGAACTATCTCGCCATCGCAGAACACATACAGGAGAGAAAAAATTTGCCTGCCCGATGTGCAGTCGACGATTCATGAGGAGTGACCATTTAACAAAACATGCACGTCGCCATTTGTCAGCCAAAAAATTACCAAACTGGCAGATGGAAGTGAGCAAGCTAAATGATATTGTTACACCACATACTTCTGGGACTGATCAATGAAATAACTTTGTCTAAAGAGGCTGTTTAGCTTTTTTTTTTTTTTCAGTGTACGACTAGGTACCAATGGTAATGTGAAAAAACCTTGCAGAATAAGTCTGTGGTTTTACAATATCAGATTGGCATAGCATTGAAACAGAGGCAATGGCTACCTGTATGCCTTGGGTGTAATGTATAGGATAGCAGGCATTTTTGTGCTTGGAGTGCTTGAAGAAAGATGACACGGAAATGTCAATGCCAGTTCTGGAAAGAGTTATTCTTGTGTCGTCTGTAGCTGGGTATAAACTAGAGAGAGATGCAGACATTAGGATGTGGGAATGTTTTCAACACTGTTGCAAACAAAATGCAGAATCTCAGTTTATGGTACAGAATCAGGGATAAATTTCAGTAATACTAGAATGCTGAAACTTTTAAGTAGATATACTTGGTCTTTTCTCAGTTGTGAATGATGATGGAAATATGGTTACCAACTTCCTGAGATTAAGTGTATGTATCTTCATTTCCTGGTATATAAAGTATGGCTAATTTAGCAATTCTGTATAACTTAAGTATATCATTGAGAAAAGTATCATATGGCTGGATTATTCTAAAGGCAAATTTTTACTACTTTGAAAGCATCACAGTTAGTACTATTAGCTGTACTTCAGTATATTTTGTTACTTGTGTGTTTAAATTGTGTGTTTCTTTTATACATTTAAATTTCTATATCATTGAAACCTTGATACAGTGCACTTTGTTTAAAGGATAATTTAAGAACAAAGCTTTATTCTCCAGGAAGAACATAAGCAGTGTGCTATGTTACTTCCTGAAATTTCTCTAAAATAGATTACAATAGAAGTATGATTGGCCTTTATATGTTATAGATATATTTTAAAATGACATAAAATTGGAAAATGGTGGATTGCTTATGAAGCAAAGAAAGTCAAGTCATCAGTCCTAGATGTGTATACAATGATTTTGCCATCATTTTTTCAATTCTCTTACTATACTGAATAAATATAAAATTATAGAGAGTATTGTAATATCTATTTTGTGACTACTTAAGATTTTGCACAAGATTTCTTATGTACTTTATATTTGTTTACAATAAATGTAATTTTCTTTAATATACCATGTGTTTTCAGTTTTTTATATTTTATTTAAAAATTGATATTGAAATTCAGCGTGACGCTATTTGAAGCGTTCTGAACTTAAATTGCTAAGAAGATATTATATATAATGATTTTTACATGATTGCTTCTAACAATGACCTCTAAATTTTCCTTTGAGCCATGAGCACTTAAAATAATGGGATATAAATGTTATAATAAGCTGCCCATGGTTACCTTGAGGTAAGATGGGCGTCCTATAAATTTTATAAATAAATAATAAAAATATCTAGCAGCAAATAACATGGTGTAAGATGATAGAATGACAAAAAGAGTGATCTGGTGCAAACCCCTCTTTTGTACCCATGACATATGTCCAAAAAGGCAAGATTGTATTATGATCTCTCAAAGAAGTGGGGTCACCTAAGTTTATCAGGATGCACCCATTAATGTCCAGGTTGCCATGTTTTATAGTAGCTGTAGCTTCCAATTATTGTTCAAGGGCAGCTCCATGAATTGTATGTTTAGGTAGTCAAAATGAGAAGTAATTTGGGCATAAGTGGCTATAAGCATGGCTTCCCAGACCACAAATGGTCACAATTGGCATACGAGATTTAACAGTACTCTCCTAGCCACAGCTGTCCCCTGCTCCTCAAATAAGAGCTGTAAGTCTAGAAAAGGTCCCAGACTGTGGATCACCTGTCAGAAGAGTCAGAGATGGAATTTCCCTGGAATTGGTGGGCCAGAAACCCAACACCATTTTGTCTTGGAGTGATTCAGTCACAGTCTTTCCCTCCCCCATCCAGATCCTGATAGCTCTAAGAACATCACCACCTTCTTGCCTGTTCAGCCTGGGGAATGAGATGTAGAACTGGGATCATCAGCATATAGATCAGGGGTTCTCAACTTGGCAACTTTAAGCCTTGTGGACTTCAACTCCCAGAATTCCTCAGCCTGACTGAGGAATTCTGGGAGTTGAAGTCCACAAGTCTTAAAGTTGCCAAGGTTGAGATCCCCTGATATAGATGATCCTGAATCCTATACTGACCAGATGATTTCCCCCAGTGGTTTCATGTAGATGTTAAAAAGAAGTAAGAAGAGAGAAGCAATCCACTGAGTAGAAGTCTGGTTAGATTTCTCCCACCATCACTTCCTGGAACCATTTCTTCAGAAAGGAGAACCATAAATCAACAGCAAATGTTTTTTGCTTTGGGTCAAAAGCTCTTGAACAGGATCATTGTGATACTTCTGAATCAGAAACCACATATTTTAAATATTCTAAATACTTGACCTTTGGAAATCTGAGAGTCATATATCAAATGCATCATTAGCAAGCTTGTAGGGTTATTTTTAAAATGTTCAGACATATTGACACATGACAAATATAAATATCTTACAAGGGCAGTCTCGCATTTGGTGTGCCATGAGGCTTATAAGTAACAGGGAATTGGCAAGCATCACAGTTGATCCAGCCAATTACAAATTCTTCTGAAACTTTATATTTTCCAAATATTCAGCTTGTGGATGATATCTGTCCTTTTCATCCTGCAATATATGATTTTGAAAATGTTTTCAGTTCTCAATTTATTAATTATAGTGTAATTAAAGCAGAAATGATAGGTTTCCATATACGCTATCAAGTTCCATGGATTCACAATTTGTTCCAAGTCATGGCTTATGACTGGTGTGTAAACACATATAATTGTTCAATAAATCATAGATCAGTGCAATTCTATCTTATGCAAATCCATCAGTGCAATTCTATCTTGTGCAAGTCATAGTTTGTCAACAAAGCTTAGTGAAATAATGTATTATATCACCCCTCCCCAAATTGTGGCTTATATAATTCAATAAAACTGCCAGGAAATAATATTTATTATCTAGGTGATTTTTCTTTGTTGTTTTGCAGATTAATGAGGACTAGTATAATGCTCAGTTCATTATCACTTTCTGACTAGATTCCTATTTGCTTAACATATAATAGAGAAAATTATTGTGACATTAAGTAGAAAAACATAGCATGCCATCTAAATTCATTTTAATATAGCTATTCAAGTCTAAACTATAACAACTATTTTTAATAAAAATGCCAATAATCACAATGCTCGTATTATTGTCTCAGTAATGGCATTACAATACATTATAAATGGAGAAATGAAACTTGAGTCTAGCTAAAGAATATTCTTAAATGATTGTAAACAATTTATAAACATTATCAACAATGCTTCAATTGCTCTGATATTGGCCAACGTAGAAAGTTTTGTTAGTATAGGAAAATTGAGAGTTTAACAAGAAATCAAGAGAACAATTAACTGCAAATTCACTAAGGATATAGGCTTAATTTACCTTTACCTTTTTAATTTCTAACATTTTTAGTTTTATCATTATTTCTCCTGCCTAATTTCAGTTAACAATCTTATTGCATCTGGCAATCTCAAACAATTAGTGTTCCAACTTCCAATTTTGATTCAGGTTATAATTTTTTCCAATCTTACCATTTGTTTATGATACATTTGCTCTGTAAGTTAAAAAGATGTGCGGACAATATGCATTTTTTCTCACTTTTTTCTCCATTCTGGGCCAGTCTGTTTCACTAAATTAAGTTCTTATCATTGTTTATTGCAAATATATGTTAGAAGAATAAGTAAACTTTCTGGCACACTGTTCGTCCTTTTAGGTATGTCAGATCAGGAAGCAGACACGAGAGGGGTTCCAGGAATGGTACTTTTTTCTTGCAGTTTATATTATCAGAGTTTTGAAAATCTGACAAAGTTTCCTTCTACCCTCTATTACACCAAAGATGATCAAGGAGAGATATCTTGAGTTTCTTTCTAACCCTCTCTTCCTTCCCAGAGCAGAGCCAATTTTTAACGAATGTTCTTGCATTCCTTTTTCAAGATTAGTTTCCTATTTTTCTGCATATATCCATTATCCTTAATATATTCCTCATTTTGGAATAATCTACATTGCCAAAGTGATGTAGTATTTAATTAATTTCTCTCTTATCTCTCATGTTTGCTTTGGGTTCTTCTCCCCTTTCTAAAACCTCTCTGTCTCTTTGGCATTTGCCTCTTCACTAAGGGGGTATTTTTCTTTGTAAGCCAATACTATGGAATAGGTTTTTGACATGTGTCAGCGGTGCATCATTAGAATGCTAGACAAATATTAAAGAATAAAAACATTGCTTAATTGTCCATAAAGTGGAGGAAGTTGTGGTGCATAAAGGGGAGAAAAGAATGCAAGGGAGCTGGAGAGTTCCTCACATTTATATTTGCTGAAAGATGAATTTAATACTTGTAGTTTTGTCTGCTCTGTTGTAAGGTTATTGTTTCTTTAAATTATTACACATCAATAGTAACAGTCAAAACAATGTAATGAACTGCAACTGGAAACATTTTCAGTATGAAATTTAGTTCATCTTTAAATGCTTGGGAGTTCTCATTGTGGGGATGTGAGTCAAAAGAAAGGAATTTTGAACTTGAGACTTATCTGCCAGTATGTCATGCATCTTAAAAGAATTTTGCAGCAATTAGGAAAAAAGCATGCAAAACAAGAAGAAATGGTTCATGAGAGTGAAAAGCTGCATCTGGAAAACCTTGAGAGCTAAAAGTTTGGTGTTGGAATTCTTTATGTAAATGAGGCAGCACATCTGATAGTTTTTCATGAGCAATTGCTGCTCAGTACAGGTAGTCCTTGAAAAAAGTAACTGACACCCAGTTGCACTTAACAACTGTTGCAGAATCCCCAAAGTCATATGATGTATTTATGATGGTTGCAGGTCCTGGGGTCATGTGTCACTATTTATGACCTTCCCATCTGGCTTTCAAAAAACAAAGTCAATGGAGGAAGCTGAGTTCACTTAAAGATTGTTTGATTCACTTAACAACTGCAGTGATTCATTTAACAAGTTTGGGAGAAAAGTCATAAAATTGGGCATGACTCACTTAATAACCGCCATGCTTAAGAATGGAAATTTTGGCCCATTTGTGATTAGCAATAGCACTTAGACCTATATACCGTTCCATAGTGCTTTACAGCCCTCGCTAAGCAGTTTACAGAGTCAGCATATTGCACCTAACAATCTGGGTCCTCATTTTACCAACCTCAGAAGGATGGAAGACTGAGTCAACCTTGAGCAGGTCAGGATCGTACTGCTAGCAGTCAGCAGTGAGTTAGCCTGAGTACTGCATTCTAACTCCTGTGCCACCACACAGTAAGTTAAAGGCTACCTGTAGTCACATAACAAACAGAACAGTGTACAGTAATATCCAGCAAATCCATAAAGGGAGAAAGGCTGTATTTTTGATGATTAGCAATACAATATTGCTTTTAATAAGGCTGAGGGCAGACTATGTCTGGAGCTGCAGCATTCTATTCATCAGGTTGGGTAAATATAAAATATTGGGCACCAGCTGAGAGCTGCTAAAATATCTTGGATCAAAAACAATTTTTTTTAAAGAAAGAATCTAATTACTAGCTCCCTGTAGGTGGAAAGGACATCTATCTGCAAAACAAAGCGTTAATCTGAGAGATCACTGGCAAGACAAAATCTATGGAGCTATAAGCTATAAGTCTGGGGAAAAAACTAAGATGGAAGTAATAGTACAAAGAGGTCCATAAACATTAACTAGTTTCTTAGATTACAAATATCAGAACTGATTTGGATAGATGTTAATAGCCAATGAAGAGGTTACTCAATGTATGTTATTGCTGAACCTGACATTAAGTTCAAATTAAATTCAAACAATTCTTGCCTATGAATAACTGCCCAAAGGGCATCAGAGTATTGATTGGAACCACAGGACACTGTGTCATCTACCAGCCATTCTGTCATGTTCTTTCTTATTCCATGCATCAATGAGGTCATTGACAGAGTGGTCAGCCTTTCTCTCAAATATCCCCTAGAATAGATCTTGTTAGTAATAGTTAGAACCAAAGAGGATCCACCAACCTAAGCCAGCACTACTTCTTCAAAAGGCAATCCAGATCTACCACCTCAAAAGCAAGTTTAAATAAGATGGAAGCAAAATGATTAAATTTCAGATGACTCACTACCCATAGTTGCATCTAGACTCTTACTCCAATTCCTGTCTCCATTCTACTATTTCCCACTCAGGATCTTCTTTCTCAGAATATTTCATACTTTCTTCCCTAGACTCCAACCCCTACTGCACTTGTTAGGTTTGTCTGACTCTGAGAAGACTCAACACTCATCAAGCTGTTTGGAAACCCCCCTTTCATTTTTAAATTCTGTGTTTATCCCTGGAGAATCCTGTTGCAATATCTTCCATTTTGTTTGGATGGTGCTGTTTTGGTTATGAAAGGTTCCATATTTAAAGAAAATCTCTATTTGCCCTGAGTGCATAATTTATTTATTTTTTTGCAGCTCTATCCTTCCCTTTCTCCAAGACTCAAGTAGGTCTAACATTGGCATTTCCCTTCATTTTTGTTTGTCCTAACTTTGCCCCAAAAAGAGCCCATTAAAGCAACCACACAGTAGTTGAATTGGAACGGGAGAATATCCACAGAATTGCAACTATACATACATGCAAACCTATGCATATAATTTGGGGGGGGGGGATGTTTGTGCATGCTTCTGAGTCCATGAATCAATCTCAGTAAGTCCCTGCTGTTTTCTTCAGAAGATTTTTCAGAAGTGACTTGCCTTCTTAGGGCTAAGAGAGAGTGAAATCTTAAGGTCACCCAGCTGGCTTCTTGCCTAAAGTAGGATCAGAACTGATGCTTTCCTGATTCTCATGCAATGCTTTAACCAGTACACCAGAATGACTCATATATATGAAGGTAAAAGGATAACATTTTTTGCTATGGAAAGAAGGAATTGCATAAGAGTTTGTACTAGGCTTCTCTTCCAGGAATATCTTTGGCCCACCTAAGGAAAATCAATATCCATGCCCCAAGATTAGCCTAAAACGGGAATGAGTAAAGTACACTTCCGGCCATGCTTATTTTGAAAATTTTCACCTGTCTGAAAATTATATAAATAGAGTGGTGCTTAAGCTATACAAATACATGCCACCTAGTGGTAATGTTATCAAATATCCCTCAAAGTCTTTTATTTTTGTGAAAACTGGAAGATCAGCTTAAGTTTGATGAGGGTATCTATAAATCACAATTATCTGTGCTGAAACATTTGCTGGTAGTAAACAAAGCACCTGTGCACCTTGAGAAAAATACTGAAGCTGATTTAGGATAGTTCACAATGAATTACCACCTGCGTACATAGAAATAGTGTAAACATCTCTCACAACATAGGGCAGGAGTCTTCAAACTTGGCCCTTTTATGACTTGTGGACTTCAACTCCCAGAATTCGTCAGTCAGCGTGCCTGTGAAGTCCACAAGTTATAAAAGGGCCAAGTTTGAAGACCCCTGAAATAGGGACATACAATGCAGTTTATTCTTCAGAGGAAAAAAACTGATAGTGAATAAAACAGTGACCGAGTAGTGCGAAAGAAGTATGTCTAATAATGAGAAAATGATGAGGATCAAACTGCAAAATAAATTTATGGAAGAAAGGTGAACGGTCAAGAGAAAGAAAAAGTTATGATTGGTTTTGTTAGCTACTCAAAAACTTGAGAGATGTTTAAAGAATAGAAGGATATATATATATATATATATATATATATATATATATATATATATATATATATATATATATATGTTTTCTGAGGTTTTCGCGGGTATTTGTATGTAGGTCTTTGGTTGTTCGGATTTTCTCCCGCGTAAAATTGGAAGTGTCTTGGCAACGTTTCGACGAAGTCTCATTCGTCATCTTCAGGCTGGTGTTTTCAGCTTCGTGCAAAGCACGAAAAGCTGAAAACACCAGCCTGAAGATGACGAATGGGACTTCGTCAAAACGTCGCCAAGACACTTCCAATTTTACGCGGGAGAAAACCCGAACAACCAAAGACCATATATATATATATATATATATATATATATATATATATATATATATATATATATATATGAAGCAGTGTGTGGAAGTTAAAGCATGAATAATTTGCAAATATAAACATAGGTGGAATAGTAAATTGTGGTTTTATTCACTATCAGTTCATTCAGCAACCATTCCTTATTAACCCTTTTGCTTGGTTTACTAAACAAAGTTCTTATGGATCCCATTTCCACTCTATTGAGTGAACTTTTCTTTCCTCTGACATAAGCAGCTCTCCCTGCCAAAGAAGAAAAGTGTAGTGATATGCTCCTAGTCTCGGCTTTCTTTTATTTAACATTCATCCCTTGAACAGCCACATATCATCCACTTACCTTTTGACCAGCATTTGCGCATGCTTTAAGTTGCCCAATCAATTTCCCATTTTCATCTATTTGGCCTGTGTTTGTTACCATTTATGTATATGATTTCATCTATTTGATCTGTTTGTTACCATTTATGTATTGTTTGCAGTTGATTTATTTCCCTTGTCAAACACAATTATATTAATTTCTGTTGTAAACAAGAATAACAATTTGGCAAAACCTTTTAGAGGCCCCTAGGGGTCACTTAAGGCTTTGGTCTAGCTTTGAGTCTTCAGGATGTATATTTCTGATCTCTGTGATAAGAGGTGACAAGATTGGAAAAATCGGAAGTGTGGGATACTGTATAGAGGAAAAAAATACACCACTAAAAATATATGATGGAAATATCAGAAAATCAATACCATGGACAAGTGGTGGAAATTGGCAGGGTTTTTTTTTTTAAACTAAATTTATCTTGTATAAAATTTCAGAACAAGGCTGCCTTGTTATTATATTTAGCAAACTATGTGATACACTGTATGTAGCCATCCTATAAATTAAATATTATCTGGCAATAGGATAAATTATTTGCATAGAAATGCTCTTTGCATAAGCAGTGATTTTACCAGATAGAAAGTTCAACCCTAATTTATGTGGATTGGCGGGGGGGGGGGGTTTATTTTAGCACCAGATTAAAACATACTTCAAGTGAGATTTTTTTAAACATAAAATGTTACTATTTTACATTACTGGAATTCCACATTCTAATTCCATGGCAATATGTGTAGGCCCCAATTCTCATTCTCCAGCCAGTAATGGTGGATGGGGAATTTTGGAATTAAACTCTAATTTATATGGACCATGACAGCTGCTGGAGTAAGATTCCCTCCAACTTATGCTGTTCATTTCTTTGTTGTCATTCAAAAATGTGCTAATTTTGGATTCAAAAGGTTTTTTTTTCTTTTGCTGTCCTGCCATTTCCCCTGGATATAAGGCAAACCAGCCTGGAATCTGAACTACTTACCTGAAATCTTCCATTGATCTCAACGGGATTGACTTCTGCATGGATATATGTAGAACTGTGCTACACGTAATATTGTACCAGAAGGCCACATAACCCTGGAATGAGGCAAAGGACTCTAGGAAGATTGAGACCAAATCAAATGCAGAAGGGCAAAGTCAGCCCAGGCATTTTGTAACTTGAGGCAAAAGACATGATGCTGGGGGAAGTTATGGGTGGGAAGCCCATAGAGATCATCAGCTAAATTTTACTTTCCCACTAGAGATAGATTATCCCTTCTACCACTTTTAAAACAGCAGGATACCTTGTGGAGGGTACAAGGCAAGTCAGGGGATGTACAGAGCTTCTTCCCTCACCATCATGTCAACCATCAGTGTGCACTTTATGAGGTTGTTTCACTCTGTTTGGCCCTGTATGGGATGTAGCCTGAGAACTAGAACTCCAAATTTCTTTTCAAACCTAATAAATGTCAAAAGGCATATCACCATGAAAGGCTGTAAGGGTCTAATACTAGGTTGGAATACCCAATGTCCATATTTCATTGAAAGCTGCTTTGGCACCAGTTTCTTTGTATTATACTACAAGTTTAAAAATGAAGAAGTTAAGTTGCCTTCAGTCAGACTATTTGCCATTAAGTCCAGTTCCTTCTATTCTAACTAGCAGCAACTGTCCAGCGGCTTTGGCATATAGTCTTACCTGCCCCGTTATTTAATCCCTTTCTAAATGGAAGTGCCAAAGCATGTGTCCGGTTATTGAGTTGCTTCCCTTCTCTAAAGCTTTCTTAAGAAAAATAAAAATACTATTTTCTATCCCTGTTTCAACTGCCAACTAAGCAGACCTTCTTCAAGGAACAAATAACATTCCCCCCCCCCCCAGAAAAAAATGTACAGTCAGACCGATTGATGTGCAACACTGTCATTGTTGGAAGAAGTTTACACATTTCCTAACACATGATCAAAGGGCAATGCTGAAAAAATGCCGTTTTCATGAGGTCCCAGTGTGTCCCATCCTTGCACTGTACAGCTACCAGAGCTGGTTGCCCAATGTTTAAAGAAGACCAAGGAGACAACAAGGAGGCACACAGCAAGGTGATTCTATCCTCACAAGACTGGTCGGTCCTATGGTGTATGTTACTTCATTCTCACAAATTCCTGGTGGTAAACAGATCTCCTTGGTGACAGTTGAATAGTTGTATTCCTTCCCTCTACAAGTCTTAAATTCTTCTTCATGTTCAGCACAAACTTTAACCTTCCCATCTTGCACTTTCACTGTAATGTCTTCTGGGTCAAAACCTTTAACATCCATTAAAGCTAAAAGCTTTGGGCGACTACATGCTGCCATCATTTTACAAACCCTTCTTCGAATCCTGCAATTATAACAAAGAAGAGGATAAGAGTGCAACATACCAATTTAAATATTAGAATATCCTATACAAATCTGATGATATACAAAGTTCAGTACTTAGCAGCAGAAGTTAATACATCTCAAATGTTGCTGGAAACTAAGCTGTAGAGATTAAAAGAAATGTTTCAGAGCTGAACTCATCTATATTCTACTGAGGTTAGTAATAACAGATTAGTGAAATTCCTGTCAGTGTTGGCATTACTGACATGATTATACACAAGAAACATCCACACAAATTTTATTAGGGGGAAAATTGGGATGCTCTAGCTTAGAAAATGCTGAAAGATTATCAAAGGATGCTAAAAAAAGAATTGGGAAAATGTATGATGCAAATTGTGTTTCAGAATACTCTTTTTTGCTAGGCTCTTATTTGCACAATGCTAAGTGTGATGTAAATCTATCTACTTTGTTAATGCTAAAAAAATAGCATTATAAGGTAAAAAAACAAACAGAAGAGAATATATGTAGCTCAGGTTGACCTCCTTAGTATTCCCTAGCTTGGTTGTTTGTCAGTTAATGAAAATCTGCAAGCAAACAATCAAGTTTAGAAAGCACCAAGGACTCCACAGAGTTAGTATGATTTGTGGATTGGGTACTTTAAACAGGATAAACTGGCCCTTAGTTCAGATAAGGTGAGACCTTATTCAGAAGTATCAGGACAATTTAGGCTAAGAGGGAAAACTTTTTTTTAAAAGCACCCTATACACAACTATATACATATCTTGGAAAATGCACTAATAAACTATTTTGGAATTTTGTCAAGACAATTGCATGGAACTGTCCATGAAGTTTCCAGGAGATGAAGAAAACTTGAAGACTTTTAAAATATTTATTCAATCACAAGTTTCTCATTTTTCAAATGAATATTACACGTCACAATGAAACTTTTATATCTATATCTATTTTCCATTGGGCTATCTAATTATATAGTCATGTATAACCTCAAACTAACAATTTCCATCAGGTAGGTATGTGGCTGTCAAGTGACTAATCAGAATGGCTTCTTAAATATACAATTGTCCAGGCTCACTGGGCCATACTCACTACAATACTCTTGCCATTACCAGTTGACTTAATGCAATATGTAAATTTGGACAAAATGGTGATATCAGAATAGATACATCTTTAAAATGTACCAGTAAATTCTGCCTTTTTTTATGGACTCAGAATGTAAATCTATTTTGAATCAAACAGCAAGCAAATCTTTGTAATAAATAAAATATAGTCCTAAATATAAGAAAAGAACTTTGGCTATTGAAGACTTAGCTATATTCAGACTGCCCAGCCAAAATGTATTCAGTATGAGTCTGCCTTTAAATAAATCAGATTTCAGCTGCTAGAAGGCAGCCACTGGAATCCTTGTTGTAGACAAATGGTTGCATCATGTTACACTGTTTAACCAGGAGCCATATTTGCCAGTTTTCCCAGGCTGAATCAACTTTCTGCAACCTGATGCTCTTCACAATGGTTGGAAAATCACTCTTGACCTCCACATTCAACATGGCCAGGTGAGGTGAACCTTCCATATAAGAGTCTCCTTGTGAGACAAATGTAACTTCTGATGTGTTGCTAATTTAAATGCATTTTACAAATAAACTTGCTTTTGCTGATTTTTAATTAAAAGGGCTCAATCTTGTTGCTGTTTGATAGGGAGAAAAATAACACATCCCTTTGCTAGCTTCCGGTTTGAGACTGTGATTACTAAGCAACAATATATTAGTCTTGAAAAAAAGTGAGGGGTTTTCTTCAGAAGACTGATTAGGAAGAAGACAGAGACCAAGCTGTAGTTTGATTTTTCATTAGGCATAATATTCCGGATCATATTTAACTTTTCTTTTTCTATCAGGCTTTCACCAGCGTACCACAATAGCTACCTGCTCTCTTCCCCTCCAAAAATTTTTTTCATGTGAAGCCAAGAGTAAGGCATGGCTAGAATAATAAAGTCTATTATAGATACCATTAATCTTAATAGTGAGAAATATAATCTTCTAGAAAGTCCAGGGAAGATATTCTTATTCTATATTATGTCCAATGTTTTAAACTTTACATTTCTTTCTCCCAACTTTGCAAGCAGCTACAGTAGCTATGGTTTTCTCAAGCTTTTTTGTTATGGAAGCTCGCAGACTATTTTCAAAACAGCCTCTTCTTTTCCCAAGCTCCCCACTTCTTGCCTCGTCATTCTCCCGAAGATTTAGTGCAAAAAAAAAAAAAAAAGAGAACTAGCCATGTCTTGTATTTAATGTATAAAGCTGCTTCGCTTTCTTCAATAGATAATGAGGAATTTCTCTTCATACTAGCTCAAAATCCCATAAAATACATAAAATACTCACCATGAATTCAGAGATTAGGAAAAGTGTGCACTGAACCTCAATTATCCACAATATTATTTAAAGGAGATCGTATTAGGACAAGTTATTTTTATTATGATGTAGAGTTTTGCATTTATAGGATTCTATTAGGCCAGGGGTAGGCAACCTTGGCTCTTTTATGACTCGTGGACTTCAACTCCCAGAATTCCTGAGCCAGCATGGCTGGCTCAGGAATTCTGGGAGTTGAAGTCCACGAGTCATAAAAGAGCCAAGGTTGCCTACCCCTGTATTAGGCCTTAGTATGGATCAGAACTACATAATCTGATACTTCCATACTGTGGTTCTGATCAACATTTCTCGCCCTCTGAAGGCACCCACTGGTGACAAATTTCCCATTGATAAGCATTGTAGGGCATCTTTCAAGTAGAATCCCCTTATCCTGAGTCGTAGCTAACTACATTTTAGTTAGTTGTACAAACCCAGTCATAGGGCTAATTTATAGTTCAGTGTCTCCTGCATAATATGGGTTAAAAGGCCCCTAGCAGTGCACTAAAGATAGAAACGTGAATATCAAGGAATACATCAATTGAGAAATGCAAAGACCTTGAGAAGGAAAACAAAGAAATATATTCCTCATCATTAAATCTCTAGTAACATCTCCATTTGTGAAATTGGGAGAGCTAACAGTTATACATAGTTGGGTAGTTTACATTGACTTGCAATGTGACATACAATATTTCTGTGCTACCTTGGTCAAATAGTTGTGAGAAACTTTGAAAACCCAATGACCAATTTCGTCTGCAGATGAAGCCAGCTGATCCTTTGGGGCTCAATGTGATGTCATGACACATACAAAGAGAGGGCAGGGCTTGTGTTGTGATGCCATGATGCTATGCCATGCTGACTCTCCTTGCCCCCACCAACAGCCACTGCCACTTTCACTGAACTGGCAGCCTTTTTCTTGAAAACAGGCTATACCTCATCCCAAATGAAAATATGAGGCATGTAAGACAAATTATGTCCAGCCTCTCTTTCAATGACCAATGGAACTAGTACCATTAATTCTCATTTCATTCCCCACTGGTTCTTGATCTAGTAAATAAAGAGGAAACAGACTTACCTGGCCAGTTCTTGCTCAGCTTCTATTTTAGCTCTAATAGCTTTCCGCTCCAAGGTTGAGAGGCAGAGCGGCCGACAGGGACGGCAACATAGTATGTCACACAGGCAATGGGGGTAAGGATGGAGAAGGCAGCAACATTGGGGATGGAGATTTATATCACAGAGGCAGTGAGTCTGCACATCGCAGATTTTAGGGCAGCAACTCATGTCTATAAGCTTTAAACGCCTTTTCATTTCTCTGTCAGTTCGCCTTAAATTTCGCCTCACAGTTTCCAAAGCGTGACAGAATGTTGCCATTAGAAAGCATTAAACCATATTCACTTACGAGTACAGCCTTTGAAAAAGGGCACCCGTCAGGAAAAAAAAATTGGTCTTGCAAGCCCTGGCCAGAAGATTGCATTAAGGAGCTAGCTCCTGATGCTTTAGTTGTACTTCAGCATGCCGTTTATGACATCATTACTGTGTAAGTATGTCACAATCTCACCATTTCCATGGGAACAGCAAACAGTATATCCCAGAGTACCAAATACAAACTCGTTAACAGAAAGTGTCAAGTGTGCGGTTTTTATTGAATACTATGGTTTAGTAGCCTACATTACACACAATTTTTATGCTCTCTTAATAAGGAGTGCACTTTGTGTTTGTGTTAATAGTTGGGATATGATAATTCAAAGCTTTATAAGTCACAACAAGGCATCATCTAGCCTCAGAAAAAAAATATTTATAGAAAGGAAGCAAGTGTATCCCGAAAACTGAAATGGATTGACAATATATGGTCATAAAGTTATAGTCTGGGGCTAAAAATAATGTTGCATTATTGATAACCTTCAGTTCCAAATTAGCCCTTATACTTTTTGATCAAAATCTCATAACAAACAAAAAGCTTTTTCAAAAGAAGAATGATTTATTTGAAAGCATTTGGGGTTCAATATGATAGCTGTTTAGGAGGAGTCCCTGTGGGTTTTACTCCACTCATCCTTGCTGACTATAGGTGCTCATCTCTGTTTCAAGGCCATTAAGCCAGTGCTGTCCAAAAGATATTTCTGTGATTGCTATTTAACCCAGTCTATAACTTTCTTGCTATGGTCAGATAGACCTTAGTTATCATAAGCCTGGATGAGAAGTAACAAGATGTAGAGCAGGGGTATCAAACTCGCAACGTCACATGACGTGTTGCGATGTATTCCGACTTTTCTTCCATTGCCGGCAACAGGGTGGGTATGGTTTCGGTATGACGCATTTGGCCCATGGGCTGGCAGTTTGACACCCCTGGTGTAGAGGGTATAAAGAATGGTGTTGAGGGACAGGACAAAGAGCCACTATCAAAACAAGAGTCAGATAAAGGGGTACAGAGTCCAGGGCAGGGATGTTGCTTGAGTAAACATCTTAGACAAGACCTTCCTGAGTTCTCATGAAAGATAAAAGGAAACATAAAAAAATAAAATCTTCCATTTAGACTTGGAAGATTCTTTTACTATAGCTTTACAGTAAAAGTAGTATTGGCCTTTATGACATTGGATTCATAGTCTGATTTATCTTGCAGGGCTAACAAAAGATTGAGTTTTCACTCTTTCGCAGTGGTCTGGAGGCTAAGAGCTACTGAAGTATCAAATTCTGATGAGGTGAGGGTTTTGGTGACTGAAGCTATGATAGAATTGTAGGCATAATATTGCATAATAAAATAGTTATAAAGCATTAGCCAAGATTGCCCAGTTATCTCTTCATTACCAATATAATACTGAGCTATTATTAGTAAATGGTTAGAACACTAATATCATTAACTGAAGTACATATTCAAAAAACTAGAGTTCCTAATTTGGTGGCTACATACAGCATATCCAACAACTGATAGAATTTTACATGTCACCACAATTACTAATGAAATGTTAATTTAATTTCTGTTACGGCCACTTTGGTTTGGTAAAGACATAAAGCTAGAAACAGGGAGGGTATGAGTTCTAGTCCCGTCTTGGACATGAAGCCAAGTGAGTGATTTTAGATCCGTCACCCTCTCTCAGCCCCTGGCAAGGAGGCAATGACAATCCACTTCTGAAAAACCTTGCCAAAAAACTTGTCTAAGCAGTCTCTGAGAACTGGACATGATTGAGGAATAAACAAAATATTCTGTTAAATGCATGTCTGTAAGCAGCATCTACTTACAGATAGAACTGATTTTATTGGAGAATAAATATAATACTTTTAAATGTGCAAATAGAGTCTACTTTGCATTACGTTAACATCATCCTATTTCCCAAAGGGAAAGCAATCCACTATGGACACTTCCAGAATGTCTTATAATTTACTCTGCAAAACTATTAAAATCAGTAATATTAATTATTTACTGACAACTTATAAAATGTGTATTATCAGTGAATAAGCATCGTGTCAATGCAATTGACTGATCGTGTTGATTTGGCTACTTTTGCTAGAAGCAATTTATCAATACCTGTTTAGTGTTTTCCAACGAATACAAGGCTGAGTGTTTTTCAATGAATTTAGAAAAATCTCAGGGAAAAAAAATGGTTGTTGAAATGAGTTTTCAAAAAGAGGACTAAGCCAGGATTCCTGATTTGCAGGTAATAAATAACAAAGCTTTACAGTCTGCATCTGATATAAAACTGGCTCCCGGTGACTTTTTACAGTACTGGCTGATTTCTGTGTGTGAATCCCGCCATTAACTATATTATTCCCTCTATTTTTCAATTTGAGACATGGCAATAGGTGGTGTTCTTTCGCTGCATCTTGATGCATGATACTCAAATAAACCAAGTTATTTTATAGCAAAACTAATAGCAAGACAATAGTCACCCTAATCATTATTGTCAACAGAATTTTTTTCTACTTAGACATACATAGGGTTGTATTATTAAATACAGGTAGTCCTCTACTTATGACCACAACTGAGCTCAGAATTTCCACTGCTAAGCAAGCCACTTGCTAAGTGAGTTGCACTCCATTTTATGATCTTTCGTGCCATAGTTTTTAAGTGAATCTGATTTCACCCATTGACTTTGTTTGTTGGAAGCCAGCTATGATCACATGACCCTGGAACAGACCAGCTGTCAGAAATACAAGCTATTTGCCAAGCCCCTAAATGTTAATCATATGACCATGGGAACACTGCTTGTGGTTTTAAGTGTGAAAATCAGCCATAAGTCACTTTTTTTTAGTGCTGTTTGAACTTTGAACGGTCACTAAAATAAATGGTTATAAGTCGAAGATTACCTATGTGGATAAGAACCACACTGAAAAGGAAAACTAAAAATTAATGCTGGGAATTGTTGCCAAAACCCAAAATATTACCAGGACTGTTGTGCAGGAAGAAATGCATAAAATCTAAAAATTAGTGAAAAGAACTAGTTCTTCCTAATACATGAAATTAAATTAAATGATACATCCTGAATATGCTTGGAGATCTTATAGGACTGTAATAACTGACAAATCTTATGACAAGTATCAATCAACAGCATGCAGTGTCTTTCCAATGTAGGAATGTCGTTTTTCACAAGTGGCTGCTCAGAATCCCTCTTCATGGATTTTAAAAAAATCCTCCATATTTTCTTGTTCGAAAACTATGATGGTAAACTGAAGAATTATATTTTGCCATTGTTTAATATCTAAGGGAGTAAGCATGTGTCCAGGAAGCAAAAATAATACCGTGGGCCATATTGTTTTTATTGGAAAATTGTATTAATTTGCTCCCTACCATAATGCCAGGCTCAGCTATAAAACATTTAGACACAAGAATGTAGATTAGCACACTAAAAGTTGGCAATAACATTGGGAAGCAAAACTGCTCAATGACAACTAAAGAAAATAGCTTTCGGACAGTATATCCTCCTCAAAAAAGGAAGCCTTCAATCAGCTATTGTTTTGTAATATCTCTATCACTAAACTTACCTCATCTCCGATGCACTGTCTGTCTGTCTGTCTGTCTGTCTGTCTGTCTGTCTGTCTGTCTGTCTATCTATCTATCTATCTATCTATCTATCTATCTATCTATCTATCCACACACATATATTGTTATTAGCATAAACTTATTGAATAGGGTTGCAGACTTGGCCTAGGGTAAATCAGACTAGGAAATTCACAGGAAGACCAAGACTACCATTATTGAAATTGGCAGTTAAGAATAGAAATCTTTCAAGTCTGATTGGTCAAACTGGTAGGAAGACCTGGCAGCCCTCACCCATATTTTGGCAACTTGACATTGGAATGTTTATTAATTGACCAAAAGATGGCAGCAGAGACACAATTTCAATTATGCACATTTTACCTAAGATTCCAAGTTAACAACTGAAGTGTGCATTTTTAAAAATGGAGGGATTTGCCATTATGTTTATTCTAACAGGTTTAGTTGCCACGTGAAAACAACATGGCACCTCAATCTAGTTTATTCATGTTTCTGCTACCTCTTTTATTTAATCATTTCTGCTACCTCTTTTATTTAATCATTTGGTCCATGAATAAGTCCATGTTCTTTAAAATCCTTTCTGCCCCATTTTTTTGTTTTAAATAATATGTTGTCTGATGAAAATTCCAGTGACTTGAAAAGTGTGTCCCAGGTTTTTTGCATGTTTGGGTGGATCCTTTATATAGGATCATTATATAGAACTGCAATACTTTTTAAGATATGTATTTATAATAAGACTGTAGTTTGAGTATTTTTAAAATAGTTTTGATGATCACTTTGAGTTTCCTGTTAGAAATACAGAGATGGGATATTAACTGAAATGAGGATGCCACCTCAAAGGCCTTTTATAGTACAAGTTTTCCTGGTGGATGAGCTGCTTTGTTTCTCCTTGGAAAGGGATTCTTACTCTTCTACATGCCTTTCTTGCTGATAAGAGCTGCTTCTGTTCCAATATTAGTAGGGACTATGTTTTTTTAGCTTTACCAAAAAGAGTTTGGTTCAGAGCTAACTGGGGTACTATGTCAATACTACCAGCAGGAACTCTAGCACAGCAGCACAATTCATAGCACCAAAACCAAGTACTGTAGTTGGATTCTCAAATGCAGTATGACAATCAGGAATTTTAGGCTTTTATAGCACTGCCTTTCCTAGCCTGATGCATTCCAGATACATTGGATTTCAGTTCTCATAATCTGGTCCATCATAGCTACTTGAGGATTATCATGGATATTGTGTTGTATTGTACTATATGTGTTGTATTATATTTAACTTGGAAGAGACTATAGAAATAATTAGGGGAACTATTATAAAGGAACTAATTTAACTGAGGGAATGCCATAGAGTTAGGAACTACATTAAAAAAAAATTTACACAATGACTGAAGGAGTCCCAACTGAATTTTAGGATGATTTGACAACATATGAAGAACCAGACTGGGAACACATCTTCCTGGATTAAATCTATCAATGAGATCATTAAGAGTCAATACCAATTTATGACATATAGTCAGTCAATTTTAACATATGAAAAGGAT